GCGAAACCGAACAAAAACACAGGAAATGGACGTCCGAGCGATGGCCAGTCATCCGCCTCCTCTCTCCTCCCTCCCTCCCTCCTCTCTCCCTCCCTCCTCCCTCCTCCCTCCTCCCTCTCCTCTCCACCACGCCCTCCGACTCCAACTGCGCTGGCCGTGCGCTCCGGACCCGCCAAGCGCTTCAGCCCGTCCGTTCCCCCTCCTCCCCTGGCATCGCTCGGACGTGTGCGTTTTTTCCTCGGCGAGGACCATCGAGGAGCATCCTTGACCAGTTGCCGAAAAAAACACGCACGAAACCAGAAAACAACACAGGGAATGGACGTCCGAGCGATGGCGAGCCCCCCGCTCCACCACCCCCCCATTGCGTTCTGAGTCCGCCACCTAGCCGAACGTAGCATGTCAGGAGGGGGAAGAACACACAGACACAATTAATCGTCGATCCCCAGGAGAATATGGGAAAATATGGGAAGTGGGGGGGAAGACAAACACCCAGAAAATATGGGAAAATATGGGGAATCCTTTTATTTGTGTGCATTTATTTGTGTGTCCCAGGGCCCCTTCACTGACCCGCCAACCTTCAGCCCGTTCGTTCCCCCTCCTCCCCGCTCCACCACGCCCCCTGCGTTCTGAGTCCGCCACCTAGCCGAACGTAGCATGAGCGGCATGTACGACGGAACTTACGCCTAAATCAGCACTGGGGTTTGTGCCCAACACGGTTCGCTGGCGCGGAAAAACGGAAGACAATCAACTCGAGCCTCCACCAGGCGCGCAGCAAGGATCGGCGACTGGAAAGAGCATACGGGGAACTGCGTCAGCCGTCCGTTGTTTCTGCCCGCCAGGATAAGGCCAAGCCGCTTTGCAGGCCCCAGGCTTCTTCCAGTGCTAGGAGTGCGCATGGAAGCTGCTTTGTTCCTGCAGCTTCTAGACAGCTGCCCTGTCGATGCGGACGCGGACCGCCCCAGAGTGCAGCTGGTGCTCTCCCCCCTCACCCTCTCGTCGTCTTTTCACTGGTTGTCTTCCTTGTCGCCCCCTTCCTCTCTGTTCTTCCTCCGGTCTGCAGCCTCCAGCCGCACAGCGAGCCCCGCGTGGCCAATTTCAGTGGCGGGCTGGCTGGAATGACCTGACTGATTTTCCAAGCCAGGGTTCACCGGCAGTTCTGCTTAGAGAAGGAGGAGGACCTGTAATGACGACGATCATGGCGACGCCGACGCCGATGACGATGACGACGACGATAATGATAGTGATGGCGATGATGACGATTACGATGACGATGACGATGACGGTGACGGTGACGGAGACGGTGACGGTGATGATGATGATGATGATGATGATGATGATGATGATGATGATGATGATGATGATGATGATAATGATGATGATGGCGATGACGACGACTCGATAGAGATGCTGAGTATGATGTTGATGCTGATTCCGATGATGATGATGATGCTGATGCTGATGCTGCTGCTGCTGATGCTGATTATGATGCTGATGCTGATGCTGATGATTCTGCTGCTGATGACGATGATGATGATGCTGAAGGTGATAAGGACAATTTTGAGGATGATGACAAGGATTAGGGTAATAATGGTGATGAGGCTGTTGATGCTGATGATGTTGACGACGGTAATGATAGTGATGGTGGTGATCACGATGACGATAATGATGACAATGACGATGACGGTGACGGTGTCGGTAGCGGTGATGATGATGATGCTGACGATGATGATGATGATGATGATGATGATGATGATTATGATGATGATGATGCTGCTGATGATGATGATAATGAGGATGAGGATGCTGCTGATGCTGCTGATGATGACGATGCTGATGACGATAATGGTAATGATGATGGTGATTATGATGATCATGCTTCTGATGATGATGCTGCTAATGGTGATGGTACTGATTATGATGATGATGATGATGATGATGATGCTGATGATGCTGATGCTGATGCTGATGCTGATTATGATGCTGATGGTGATGATGGTGGTGGTGATGATGATGCTGATGCTGATGATGCTGATGATGATGCTGATGATGGTGCTGCTGCTGCTGATGACGACGACGATGATGATGATGATGATGCTGATGATGATGATGCTCATGATGCTGATGCTGATGCTGATGATGATGATGATGCTGATGAGGATGATGCTGATGATGATGATGATGATGATGATGATGATGATGGTGATGCTGCTGATGATGATGATGATGATGATGATGATGATGATGATGATGATGATGGTGGTGGTGGTGGTGGTGGTGGTGATTCTGATAATGTTGCTGCTGCTGCTGATGAGGATGCTGATGCTGATGCTGTTACTGTTGATGTTGATGTTGGTGTTGGTGTTTGTGTTGGTGTTGACGATTGCTCCCAACCCTCCTTTGGCTGGGTTCTCGTTCTGAATAGAGCAGATGGGTGCCAACTCCCTTCGCCTCCTCCTCCCGCCCTCGTCCCCCTCTCGCCTGCCTGCACCTGCCTGCTTGCCCCTCTTGGGTGCCGCGAAGTGTAAAACTGTCACCACTGTCGGGGGCTGCTGAGGCAGCCCGCACAGTGGGGCCCTACGCAGATCCAGACGGGACCTCGCCATTCCCTGGGGGGCTGCGAAATATGACATTTCGCCACTCGAGGGCTGCTACACGAGAGCCCGCGCAGTGGGGCCCCACGCAGACCCGAACGGTACTGCGCCCCTCGCCATCCCCAGGGGGGCTGCGAAGTGTGACATTGTCGCTAGTTTTCGAGGGCCGGAGGGGCGGGGGGGGGAGCCCGCACAGTGGGGCCCCACGCAGACCCAAACGGGACCTCGCCATTCCTGTGGGGCTGCGAAGTGTGAAAGCGTCGCCACTTTCGAGGGCTGGGGGGCAGGGGAAGGAGCCCGCACGTTGGGGCCTCATGCAGACCCAAACGGGACCTCGCCATCCCTGGGGGGCTGCGAGGTGTGAAATTGTCGCTATTTCGGAGGGCTGCTGTTGGAGCCCGCGCAGTCGGGCCCCATGCAGACCCAAACGGAGCCTCGCCATCCCTTGGGGGGCCGCGAAGTGTGAACTTGTCGCCACCTTCGAGGGCTGCTGCGAGAGCCCGCGCAGTGGGGCTCCACGCAGACTCGAACGGGACCTCGCCATCCCTTGGGAGGCCGCGAAGTGTGAAATTCCGCCATTCTCGAGGGCTGCTACGAGAGCCCGCGCAGTGGGGCTCCATGCAGACCCGAACGGGACCTCGCCATCCCTGGGGGGGCTGCGAAGTGTGAACTTGTCGCCGCTTTCGAGGGCTGGCGGCGCGCCTGCGCGTGTGTGGTGTTCGCGCTGAAAGGTGCAGGGAGGAAGCGGAGAGGCTGGCGGGCGAGCTGAGTCTTGACCGCTTCCTACACTAACGTAAAAAGGTGCTGTGATTTTTTCGAGGCGCTGCAGCCACGTGGATGATGGTGGTGGTAAGTTTGCTCATGCTGCTGCTGATGATCATGGCGATGACGAGGACGAGGACGTGGACGGCGAGGAACAGGATGATGATGATGATGATGATGATGATGATGATGATGATGATGATGATGATGATGATGATGATGATGATGATGATGATGATGATGATGATGATGATGATGATGATGATGATGATGATGATGATGATGATGATGATGATGATGATGCTGCTGCTGATGATGATGATGATGATGATGATGATGTTGATGATGCGGAGGAGGATGAGGAGGAATACGATTATTAATACAATACGATGGTTCTGAGGATACTGGTGATGATGAGGAGGAGCATAATGATGATGCTGATGATGCCGATGATGCTGATGATGATGATGAGGATGATGATGATGATGATGATGCTGATGATGATGATGATGATGCTGATGATGATGATGATGATGCTGATGCTGATGCATGATGCTGATGATGATGATGATGATGATGATGAGGGTGGTTGGTGGGTGGTGGTGGTGGTGGTGGTGGTAAGTGGTGGTGGTGGTGATGATGATGATGATGATGATGATGATGATGATGCTGATGATGCTGATGGTGGCGGTGGTGGTGGTGGTGCTGCTGCTGGTGGTGATGATAATGCTGAAGATGATGATGCTGATGATGCTGATGATGATGATGATGATGATGATGATGATGATGATGAGGAGGAGGAGGAGGAGGAGGAGGAGGAGAAGGACGAGGACGAGGACGAGGAGGAGGAGGAGGATGAGGATGAGGAGGAGGGGAGGAGCAGAGGAGGAGAGGAGAGGAGGAGGAGGAAGGAGGAGGAGGGAGGAGAGGAGGAGAGGGCAGGTATCTGCGCTCAGTGAGGACCACAGAGAGGGGGAGCGGAGGAGGGTGGAACGGGGGAGGCGGGGGTCCAGGAAGGCAAGGCCGGGAGGGAGGGGGGGGTGCCTGATAGTCAGCATCCCGCGCGCGCGCGGGGGCCGACCGCCGCAGGGCAGGCGCAGCCGCTGGCCTCTGCCCTGCGGGGCGCGGGGCCCCGCGCGCCGCCGGGCGGCCATGGTGGCGCTCGGCCCGCCCCCCGTGGCGGGCGCGCCCGGGAAGTGCGGCGGCGCGCCCGAGGCGCCCGGGGGGAGGAGGAGGAGGGAGGAGGAGGAGGAGGAGGAGGAGGAGGAGGAGGAGGAGGAGGAGGAGGAGGAGGAGGAGGAGGAGGAGGAGGAGAGGAGGAGGAGGAGGAGGAGACCCGGGCCTCCTGCGGACCGGAGGTGCGGCTCGGCGTGTCGCTCCGCCCGTCCTCTCCCTCCCTCCACTCCCCGCCCTCCCCTCCCTCCCTCCCTCCCTCCTCCCTCGTGGATTCTCCTCCCTCCCCTCCCCTTCCTCCCCTCCCTTCCCCACCCCTCCCTCTCCGCCCTCCTTCCCTCGTCGATGCTCCTCCCTCCCTCCCTCCCTCCCTCCCCCCTCGATGCTCCCTGCTCCAGCCAGGTTCAACCGGCTCCTGCCTCCCCCCCATGCCTCCCCCCCAAACGCTGCGGCGCGACACGCCATCCGCTTCCCCGGTTTGAGGCGTCAGAGCCTGGAGCTCTCCCGAGCCTCCCGCCCCGCGGAGCGGAGCGGCACGCCATTCGCTTGCCAGGCATACGGTAGGTTCGTGCGGCATGGGGCGCCAGTGACGCTGACGAAAGCGTTGAAGGTTGAATTCTGCGACGCGAAAGGACCGAGGGACACGGTGACGCCACTGGATCTGACGGAACTCAACCTTGAACGGTCGGGGTCGCGATCGATTCAGGGTTTAGCGATCGACGCGGTGTTTAAAACCTTGGCGCGCGCCGACGCCGCACGAACCTACCATATTGTGTCGCCCGGGCCGCCGCCGCGACACGCTATGCACAAGTTCCTGACCGTAGGCCTCTTAGATGTGGTCGGAGCAGATGGGGTCGGAGGATTTCGTCGCATCGCCGATGATGGTGTTTCTTCCTTCCGCAATTGTTCGGCCCGAGTCGTGAGAGAGATCACGGGTCGGCGCTAACTCATACACATACGTATCATCGCCTGTTGAAGAACATCGCGCGTCCATCATCTCCAGGGGGTCGGAGGATCGCGCCGCATCGCCGATGCATCGGCGATGCGGCTCGACGTGGAGCCAGAGTTTCTCCGCGCCGACGGCGCCGATGCATCGGCGATGCCTTGGCGATGCACTGGCGGTGCGGCGCGATCCTCCGACCCCATCTGCTCGGACCCAGCTTGGGAGGCCTCTGCGGGAGGCCGGGGCAATGCTGGGGGGGGGGAGATGGGCTCAGGGGGGGACGACGGGCTCGAGGTTCCAGGCTGGAGGGAGGAGGAGGAGGAGGAGGAGGAGGAGGAGGAGGAGGAGGAGGAGGAGGAGGAAGAGGAGGAGGAGGAGGAGGAGGAGGAGGAGGAGGAGGAGGAGGAGGAGGAGGATCCAGAGGGGGTCGTGCGTCCCAGCAGGGCTTCCCAAGCGCCTCAAGCCTGCGGGGTCTACGCGCCAGTGTCTCGGGAATGGTGGTGGGCGGGAAGGACGGGGAGGACTGGGGGATGGGGGGGGAGAGAGAGATGGGGGAGGCTGGGGGGGGGGGGGGGCAGGCGGGGGAGGAACGGAGGTGAATGGAGAAGCGGGGGGAGGGCAAGAGACGAGGGATGCGGGGGAGGGGCACGCGGGGGTAGGGCGGCGGGGGGAGGGGACGGGGAGGTATGGGGGATGGGGAGGTGGTGAGTGGGAGAAATGGGCGAATGCGGGGGAGGGAGAAGGGTGTGGAGGGGGGGCGGGGAGGAATGGGGGAGGAGGTGGAGGGGTAAGCGGAGCAGGAGGATAAGCAGCAGAAGACGAGGGTGAGGAGGAGGAAGAGGAGGAGGAGGGGGAGGAGGAGGAGGGGGAGGAGGAGGATCATTAGGATGCAGAGGAGAGAACGGGAAATATGGTGTAGGAGTATCAGCATGTAGGACCGAGATCAGGAGCGGGATCGGGAGACGCAGGAAGACACGGAGCAGCAAGAGGAGGACCAAGAGGTGTTGGAGGAGGAGGAGGAGGAGGAGAAGTAAGCATACAAGCGCCTTTGCAATCGTTGACCACGCGCTCCCACATCCTCAATCGCCTGCGATGTGCAGCTGCCCGTCCTCGCGGCCTCTGTGTGTCTGGAGGTGTCTGCAAGGAGCCCAGTCGGCGCGTGCAGTGGTAGCAACATGCCCTCGTTGCGTGCTTCTCGCTTCTCGCGCCAGCCTGATGCCCGCTGGCCCCTCCTCCTCCTCCTCTCCCTCCTCCTCCTCCTCCCCCCCTCCTCCTCCTCCTCCTCCTCCTCCTCCCCTCTCCTCCTCCTCCTCCTCCCCCTCCTCCTCCTCCTCCTCCTCCTCCTCCTCCTCCTCTCCTCCTCCTCCTCCTCCTCCTCCTCCTCCTCCTCCTCCTCCTCCTCCTCCCTCTCCTCCTCGTCCTCCTCCTCCTCCTCCTCTTCCTGTCGCTCTGCCCACGGAGGCGTGCATGGAGGTGGCGCCGGCCACTGCAGAGCTGCTGGCCGTCCTCCAGCGCACGGCCCAGTGTGGCGCGCTGAGTTGCCCTGGATCGCACGGTCGAGTCATTTTCATCGGGCAGCCTCACCGCTCACAGCTTGTCAGCATACAGAAGATGCATCGAATTCAAAAAGCAACCTGCCAGCAGGTGCTCCACGGACATCTCTCATCCCACCGTAGCCCTGGGGACCCGCAGAAGCACTGGGACACCTCAGGACCCTCAGAGATCGTCGACAAATGTTCCCCTAGGTTGCTCATAGCGTGATCCTTTATCGTATGTACTTGTTGTATCGCACGACGCCTCAGCGTCTTAGCCGTGAGGGGCGCTGGCGAGCTGGGAAAGTGCTCGAAGCTGCTGACGGACGAGTCTTCTGATCTGGTCTTGCCTGGACCTTCCACTTTCCATCGGTCAGATCGGGGGGCGGACCAGCCGTCGAAGTGCGGAAGCCTGGCCTTCCCTCCCAAAGCTGTGCTGTGGACTCTCCCTCGGGAGCCTGTGACTTGGGCTCCTGCCTCCCCCGCTCTGGCACCCGAGGCTCCAGGTCCTGCGGGTAGGACCCCCGGCACCCGGGTGCGGCCGATCAGGCGGCCACGGCGCGAGCAGAGCCTCGAGAATCACCGAGCGCGTTGCACTACTCGCAGAGTGTCTATTCGCAAACGTCTGATAAGCACCCGTTTGCCTCGGTGCAGTACATTGCAAATCCCTCGCGGCAGATCCAGGCCATTTGCGAGCAGTTACTCTCTGCGAGTAGTGGAACTCGCTTGCCTCGAGAAGGGCAGTGCCCTTCTCTCCGCGCTGGGGTGCGGGACAATCGGGCCAGGTCTGCGATCGTGGGGCCCCGGGCGCCCCATCCTGGGCGAGCGCGTGCCTCACGGCAGCTGCCCGATCGCGTCGCGGGCCGAAGCGGTCTGGCACCCCGTCTTCGCCGTCAGGGGCCACCCCGCCGCGAGAAGTGTCTGAACAGTCTGGCGGTTTGGGCAGCCGCGCCTCGCTCTCTTTCTGCTGTCATGTCTTCCGTTTTCTCGCTGTGTACGTGTAGCCCGCGCATGCGCGTGCAGGTGCGTGCTCGCGTGCAGGTGCACGTCGCTGTTGCGGGCATCTGCGTCGGCGCAAGTCTGAATATGCACATACGTATACACGTCTAGTACAGTCAACGCGCCTAGTAAGGACGCGCGCCTTCATCTAGGACACCCTTGCGTCCTTGCCCCTGTGGCCCGTCCTTTGCCGTTTTCACTGGTCGCCGCCTCCCAAAACAATCCCAACTTCAGCCTCCAAGGGTCTTGCGTCCTTACCACGCGTCCTCAATATACGTCTTGACTGTATCAGCTGCTGTCCCAGCTGCGTGTCGCGCCTGTCTCGTGCCCCTGGAGCTCTCGGTGCCCCTGGAGGGGGCCGAGGGCCGACCGACGGCCTGTGACTCCATACCGCTCTCGACTAGGTCTTGTGCGCGCGAGCGTGTGCGCCTCCTGCATGTAAGGGTGCAGGCAAAGCCGCATTGGTGTACGTATGTGCATCTGGCTATTCACACGTTTATGTATGTGTATCTGTATATGTGTACGCATGCGTCTATGCATATGGATGTGTCTACACATATGCATGTCTGTGCGTGTCGGTGCATAGGTATGCATATGTGCACGCACACTCACCTATCCATACATATATGTAGATGACCAGGCTTCTTATGCATACACAACGGCATGTGTATGTATTTGTGTATGTATGCTTTCATGCACGTCTGGATGCACATATGCGTGCATATATATATACTTACTTTTTATATGCACCTGTTGAGTGTACGCGCGCAAATGTGTGCATATACACGTATTGATATAGTCGTACACATCCGAGTCGCAGGCACATAAACACGCATGCATACGTGCATATCCGTGCGCGTCCGTACTTCCATTTGCACCCATGCCTTACGAGTTATTATATTTGCACGTGTATGCGTGTGCCAATATGTGGGCGTATACAGTTTCGTTGCATTGGACGTGTCTTCGTACTTACGCGGACACGCAAGCGCTTATTCTTGCGTCTGCGCACATGCGTTGCACATGCATAGCTGTATGCTACATGCATGTGCATGTATGCATACATGCATGTATGCATGCATGCATGTACATATGCATGCATGCATGCATGCATGCATGCATGTACGTATATCTGAATGAATGAACGCATGCATGCATGCATGCAGGTATGTATGTATGTAGGACCATAGGTATGTGTATGTATGTATACATGCATTTTTGTATGTATGTGTGTCTGCAGATAGGTGTGTATGTATGCGTGTATGCATGCATGCCTGTATGTATGCATGTAGGTAGGAATATCGGTGTGTATGTATGTATGTATGTATGTATGTGCGCAACTTATGTCTGTATGTGTATATATGCGTGTAGGTATGTGTATGTGTATGTATGTATGAATGTATGTATGTGTGTATGTATGTATGCATGCATGCATGCATGCATACACGTATGTATGTATGCATGTATGTATGTATATACGTCTATGTATAGGTATACGTATGTATGTCTGTATGCATGTATGTATGTATGCATGCATGCAGGCATGCATGCATGTATATATATATATATATAGACATATGGATGTATGTATGTGTGTATGTATGATTGCATGCATGCATGTATGCCTGCATGTCTGCATGCAGGTATGTCTGTCTGTGTGTATGTACGTATTTATGTATGCATGTATATAGGTAGGTATGTAGGTAGGTAGATAGGTAGGTAGGTCGGCATGTATGTTTGTATGTATGTAGGTGTGTAGGTAGGTATGTATGTATGCATGTATTCACGTATGTATGCATTTGTGCATGCATGCACGTATGCATTGATGCATGTATGCATGTATGCATGCATGCATGCATGCATGCATGCATGTATGCATGTATGTATGTATGTATGTGTGTGTATGCATGTATGAATGTATGAATGTATGTATGTATGTATGTAAGTATGTATGTATGTATGTATGTATGTATGTGTGTATGTATGTATGTATGCATACATGTATGTATGTATGTATGTATGTATGTCTGTATGTATGTATGTATGTACGTACGTACGTACGTACGTATGGATGTATGTATGTATGCATGCATGCATGCATGCATGCATGCATGCGTGCGTGCGTGCGTGCGTGCATGCATGCATGCATGCATGTGTGTATGTGTGTGTGTGTGTGTGTGTGTGTGTGTTTGCGAGGGAGTATCAAGCCTGTCAGCAAAACACATTTTGGAGGCTTTCCGTGGAGACTCTTGGCGGTCTCTTGTGGACCCTTTAGGGAGGCGCCCTTGGGGGGCGCCGCCTAGGGGGCTTGTCAGGGGGCCGTTCTTGTCCCGTTGGGCCGTCTTGGGCCGTCTTGGGCTTCCTGGAGGCTTCCTGGGGACCTCGGGGCCTGATTTGGCCCTCTTGGGGGAGGCCTCTTGGGGGCTTGTTGGGCCCGTTTTGCGGCCCGTTGGGTTGTCCAGGGGCAGTCTCGGGCGCGATGGTCCCACCGAGGCTCTCCCGAAGGCGGCTGGGGGCGGGCGGGCGGGCCGTTCGTGGGGGCTCGCGGGCAGTCTCTGGGGCCATCCTGAGGCCCGCTCTCCTGGTGGGTCGTTGGTTCTCTTGCCGTCCGCGCCCTTCCCTCCTCGTCCTCCTCTTCCTTCCCCGGCTCGGTCCCTCGGCTTCCTTCCCTCCTTCCGCGGCCGCCTTCTTCTTCCTTTTTCCCCCCTCCTGCACGCGGAACAATTTTGCAGCTCCGCAGCCCGGTTTCGCTCCACGCGCGAGCGGACCGCCTCTGCCGCGCCGCGGCGGAAAACGTGCTGTGTTCGGTTTGGCGCACCCCGTCCCCCGCGCAAAGCGGCAACAAGCACGGTCTTTGGGCCCGCCAGTGTGGGGGCCTCTCTCTGCCCCGAGGCGGGCAGCGGTCTGAGGGCTTCGGAAGCGATGCCCGCGGATGCTCCTCGGGCTGCTCTCTGCCTCTGGCTCCTCTGGACTCCTCGGGAGGCCTCTTTGGGGCGTCGTCTCCTCCGGGGCATCTCGAGGCCTCTCGGAGCCTCTCGGTCTAGAGCTCCCAGGTGGGGTCCGAGTAGATGGGGTCGGAGGATCGCGCCGCATCGTCGATGCATCGGCGATGCGGCTCGATGTGGGGCCCGATTTTCTCCACGCCGACGTCGCGGATTCGTCGCCGACGTCGCCGATGCATCGCCGATGTATCGCTGATGCATCGATGATGCGTCTACGATGCATCGACGATGCAGCGCGATCCTCTGACTCAATATACTCCGACTCCATTCAGGCGGCTTCTACTTGGGGACGTCTTGGAGCCTGCGAGGGGTCGTTGAGCCATGTGTGGCTGGTCCTCGTCTGGCATGTGGCTGCTGGTCCTCGTCGGACACCGCCAGACAACTGAGAGGTATTCTAAGACTCCATGTCGTGCAGACACGGGGGGGGGATTCAATCTGCTTCTGCCTGTCTCTGATTCCGCATCTTGCAAACGCCCCCGTGCCTGGCTCTGTCGCTGTCGACGCTTCCCGAGCAGTGCGTTCACTCGAGGGGCCCCCACCTGTACCGTCAAATGCTGCCCTGCGCCAGCGCTCGTTCCCCTGACTCGGCCCTTTCCTGGACGCTCCGCGGCCCTGGTGCTCCTCTGTGCCGTCCCCAGCTTCCCCTGGCCCCAGCCTGCCCCCCCCGACTGTTCGCGGCCCTGGTGCCGCTACCGCACCGTCAGCAGACTCCTCGGCTCCGCCCCGGCCCCGGCCGTCCTCTGCCCCGGAGTGCTTCCCTGCGCCGCCGCCGGCCTCCCTTGGGCGACGGCTTCCCGCACCCCCCGGCCCTGCGCCCTGGGCCTTCGCCGAGGCTGTTCGTTTTGCCCCACCCGCCGACCGTTTCTGGCTCGGGCCTCGCCACTGTACCGTCGAAAACCAATGTGGGTTCTCTGTCTGCATCTTCTCGCCTGTCCCCAGTCCCACAGCGTTGCCGCCCCTCTCCCACGTTGCTCTTTCGTGTGTGGACCTGCCTGGTGCAGGTTGTCGGCCAGTGGGCTGTTCCATGTCCACCTGGCGCACCCCGCGTCTTGCAGTTGTGCACCGCGTTTGTATTGTCGCCGTCGTCTGTCCTCGACGCTGTTCACGTGTTTTTCATTCGCCGAGGCGATGCGGCCACGGCCATGCAGCTGCTCAGCAGCCTGCAGGTTGACAGGGCCGAGGCTGACAAGGCCGAGGCCGACAAGGTAAGGAAGGACAGGCGGAAGAAGGAGGATAGGATCAGGACATCGCCCGACTTCTGCGGCTGGACGGAGGCCCGCCGCGCCAAGATCATGGCGGGGCCCGCCACCGACGCGCGTGTCGACTACTACTCTTGCCTCGCTGACGATGCGGCGCAGAGCCCCAGCAAGCGCGAGGCTGCCATCCTCCTCTCGGCGGCCGAGGACCAGCTGGAGGGCGGCCTGGCGGCCGCGGCCCTGGCGACCGCCGGGCAGGCCGCGGAGATCTGCGCGGGGCTCGGCGACGCCGCCGGGGAGGCGGACGCGCTCCGCCTGGCGGTGCACGCCCACAGGCTGCAGGCGGAGCTGGCCAGGTGGAGCCCCATCGAGCACGGGGGCGTCGGCGCAGCGCTGCAGAGCACGCGGCGGGCGCGGGAGCTCGCCGAGCCGCGGCTGCAGGCGTGCCGGGCCCGGGGCGACGCGCGGGGCGCCGCCGTGATGCTGCTCTGCCTGGCCGAGGTGGACGCGGACGCCGCCCCGGGCGCGGCCGCCATCCCCGAGGCTCGGTGTCGTTGAACCGATCCCCATCCCTTTCCCCATGCCCATCCCCATCCCGAGCCCCACCCTCTCATCACCCCAGTTGGGGATATACTCCTCTTGAGACCCAGAGGGAGCAGCCGATCTTCCCATCTATAGGGGGGCAACTCGACCAGCGGGGCCCGGGCCACACCAGTGGGGATAGGGGTCGGTTGGACTGTGCTCAGAGGCCGCGCTGCAGGGCGCCGCGGAGGCCTGCAGGCTGTTCCGGGAGGCCCAGGACCGCAGGATGGAGGCGGCGGCGCTGCTGGCGCTCTCGCGCCTGCAGAGCCGCGAGGGCCGCGCCGCCGAGGCGCGGCGCTCGGCCGAGGAGGCGCTCGCGCTGTACCAGGTGCTCGGCAGCAGGCGGGCGGAGGCGGCCGCCCTGCACGCCCTCGCCGTGGCGCTGGCCCTGGACGGCGACGTGCCCGCGGGCCTCCAGGCGGCGAGGGACGCGCTCGACGCGGCCCGGGAGGCGCAGGACCCTCGGGCCGCCGCCCTGGAGCTGGTCACCATTGCCGCGTTGAGCCTCGACGTGGAGAGGCCCAACGACGCCCTCCCCGCGGCGCAGGAGGCCATGGACGCCTGCCGCACCATGGAGGCGGCGTTCGGGCTGTGCGCGGTCGCGGAGCAGATCGCCGCGGAGGCGCTGGTCATGAAGGACGAGACGGCCAGGGCCGTGGAGCTGGCGCTGAGCGGGCTGGAGAGGTGCCAGGAGTCGGGGGACAAGCGCGAGGAGGCGTTCGCGCAGGTGACGCTGGCGCAGCTGCGCGCGTGCGCGGGCGACGGCGCGGAGGCGGCCGCGGCGTGCGAGGCCGCCCTGGCGATCTGCCGGGACCTCGAGGACGAGCGCTGGGCGGCGCTGGTGCGGCTGGTGCTGGCCCAGGCGCTGCGCGAGGCCGGCGACGCCGCGGGAGCGGAGCGGAGCGCGCAGGAGGCCGAGGCGTTTTTCGCAGAGGACGGCGACGAGCGCCACGAGGCCACAGCGGCGACGCTGCTGTCCAGCCTGCTGCTGGAGAGGGGCGAGCACGACAGGGCTCGGCAGTCGGCGCAGCGGGGGCAGGAGCTCTTCCGGGAGGCGCGGGAGGCGGAGCAGGAGCTGGTGGCGCAGCTCCAGGTCGCCGCCTGCAGCCTCCACAAGGGGGAGCTGGCGGAGGCTCGCCGGGCGGGGAGCGTATCTGTGCTCGGCTGCCCCGAAACGCCCGTACTTTATGGAACCGCAGCGCGTACCGTGAACAAACACGTCCGTGTTGACACGCTGCGTGGTGGCTCGGCACGAGTTGGCACACGTGTTGGCGAACGTATCGCGCCATACCTAGGTCTCCAGCCTAAGTACGCGTTGGCCTCCGTGTCTAGACGCTACGTGTTTCTTGTTGCGTATCGGGGCAGCCAGGTATCCGTATCCACGGCCTCGCGGTTTGGACTCCGCGGCCGCGACCGCATCCATGGATACAGGGCGGCTTTGCGAGGATGCCCCGCGCGGGAAGTGTCCATGGGATCTCGTGTCCATGAGGTCGCGCCTCGGTATCCAGATCAGAAGGGCACGGAGATGGATATGTCCGTCGCTCGTGAGAGGCCCTGTCGGGGATCGAGGAAGTATTGCAGACAAGCAAGGATATTGGCTTCAAGAGGGGCGAAGTTGCCGCTCTGAGCCTTGCCATCGACGTCCACAGAGTCTCTGGCGATGCCGGGCAGGCGCTGGAAGCTGCTAAGAACATGCGCAGGGCAGCCCAGGAGGCTGGCAGCCGCAAGCTGGAGACCACCGCGCTCTACCACATCGCGCGCGTCCACATCGACAGGGGTGGGGGCGAAGCGAAGCTGGCCGCTAGGGCGGCGGACGCAGCGGGGAAGGGCGCGCAGAAGCTCGGCCACAGGACGGACCAGGTCTACATGCTGATCTTGGCCGCCGAGGCACGGCTCGAGGTGATCCGAGAGCTGAGCGACAGCGCGGGCAGCGAGCGCTTGCTGAGGGAGAGCGCGAGCAGGTGCCTGCAGAACATCGGGGACGCAGTCGCCCTCGCCGAGCGAACGGGCCGCTCGCACCTGCAGGCCCTGGCGACGTACTTCGAGAGCGTAGTGCTCCTCGCGCTGCGCGACAACCAGGGCGCCACCGTGACCTCGCAGCGGTCGCGCGGCTTCTTCAGGGAGGCCAAGGACCAGTCCGGAGAAGCCGCCGCGCTCCTGATCTCGGGGGCTGCCGCACGTGTCCCTGGCCCGGGTCGCCGTCCCCAGGAGGAGGAGGAGGAGGAGGAGGAGGAGGAGGAGGAGGAGGAGGAGGAGGAGGAGGTGGAGGAGGAGGAGGAGGAGGAGGAGGAGGGAGGAGGAGGAGGAGGAGGAGGAGGAGGGAGGAGGAGGAGGAGGAGGAGGAGGAGGAGGAGGGAGGAGGAGGAGGAGGAGGAGGAGGAGGAGGAGGAGGAGGAGGAGGAAGAGGAGCAGGAGGAGGGAGGAGGGAGGAGGAGGAGGAGGAGGAGGAGGAGGAGGAGGAGGAGGAGCTGTCTTCCAGAACATCCCTCGCGAGGCCCAGAGGGCCCCCGGTGCTCCGAGGAAGGCGCGGAGAGACCTGCAGGCATGGCACTGCACCTCGGGCCAGGGTCGCGTCTGGCAGCCCCTGGTGCTCCTTGCCCGGGCGCACCACTGCCACCAGCTCGAGGGAGGCCGAGAGGCGGCGGAGGCCGCCGCCAGGGAGGCGGAGGCCCTCTTCCGGCAGGCCGGGGACGAGGAGGGCGTCAGCAGGGCGGCGGAGCTCCTGGAGAGCATCGCCCCGAAGCCGCTCGCCCTGCCCGCGGGGATGCCGCCCTGGTACCCTCGCGGGCGCCGCGTGGTCCTCGCCGGGAGGGAGGGGGCGGAGGAGGAGGGCAGACCTCGGCGCGGCCGAGCGGGGCTGGCTCTCGGACGCTTCTTCTGTCGGCCCCTCGAGGCCTTGCCTGCCTCGGGATGCTCTCCAGCTTCTGCGCTTTGCCGCGAGCGTTCTGGGGGTGCACGGATCGTCCCGAGCGGCCGCCGGACACCCGAGTCATGACCCGAAGGCCGAGTGACCCGTCGCCTGAGGGGCCGTTGGTGCGCGGCTTCGGGAGGGCACCGGGCGGGCCAAGCGCAGGCACGCGCGCGGCGCGTCGGCCCAGCTGCGCGCCAGAGGTTCCTCTTGCTCGCAGCCGGGGCGTTGGAGAAGGCACCGCTTTGGGCTCGGGGGGGGCGGCTCTGGACTTCGGGCCTGGGCCGTGGAGCCCTTGCTTGGCCGAGGCCCGCCGTGGGCGGAAGAGCCCTGTCGTTCCTGATTCGGCGCCGAGTATGGTGGCGCGGCGGCGGGCAGGGAGGGGCACCCTGGCGCGTGCCCGAGGTCAAGAAGTGGGTGAAGAAGGAGAAGGCCGGCCTGAGCGCCGACCTGGTGACGCAGACTGTCACCCGTCTGGCCAAGGAGGCGATCCAGCTCGACGAGGTGGAGCTCCACGGCGACAGCCCGCTGATGGACAGCGGCATGGACAGCCTCACGGCCGTCTCGTTCAGGAAGCGGCTGCACGTAAGTCCGAGGAGGAGGAGGAGGAGGAGGAGGAGGAGGAGGAGAAGGAGAAGGAGCAGCAGGAGGAGGAGGAGGAGGAGGAGGAGGATGAGGAGGAGGAGGAGGAGACAACGGTAGTTCGTCTTCGGGGCGTGTCCCCTCGTCGCCGCGGCTGGGCGCAACTCTGGCAGCTGGTGCGCTTGGACCCCAGGGGAGGCGCAGGGGCCGATCTCGAGCCGCCGTTGTCTCCACTCGCCCTGCTCCGAGTAGGAGTGACACTTCCCCGGAGTGACCTTTTGTGCGGGCCCACTCGGGTCCCCCGATCGTTGAGTGCGATGCGACAGCAGAGGCTTGCGCGCTTGTGTCTGGCCCCCCCCCCCCAGCGCCTTCCCTGAAGCGTCGCACCAGAGGCCACTCTTGCCCAGGGCCACCTCCTGCGTGCCGCCGCAGGAACAGCGTCCAGTCGCATCTCAATCTCAAGATCTCGGCGGCGGTGATGTTCGACTACCCCACGATCAAGGAGGTCACGGGCCACATACTGACGCTCGCGGGCGGCGGCGACGGGGACAGCGAGTACGAGGAGGTCGAGGTCGAGGTGGAGGACGACGGCCCCCCGCCGGAGTGGCTCGCGGCCCAGGGCGCCGTGGCAGCAGCGCCCGCCGTGCCCGCGCCGGAGGAGGAGGAGAAGCCGAAGGGGCTCGACCACAAGGTCGTGATGTCGACAGTCAAGGAGCTCGGAGCCGCCTGGGGGGTCTGAGGTGGCCCAGCACTGGTGCTGGCCAGCAGGAAGGGATGTAGGGGGCGAGGCAGGTTCGAGGTTCTGGGCTGGGGAAGGTTTTTTTGTTTGTTGCTCTGCACGGCCTCTGCAGAGCCGTTTTCGGGCCCCGGGACTGCGGAAAGCTGAGTCGGTTGAGGGATTGCACCAGATGGGCCCCGAGAGGGGTCTGGGGACCGATTTTGAGCGGATCTGGCCTCATCCCCCCTCTTGTCGGATGTTCTGGAGTCCCAACAAGCTCAGACCCCCCGGCTGCCTCCCACAAGGAACTTGCGAAGCAAGCCATCCAGCTCGATGAGAAGCTCGAGGAGGACGGCCCTCTGATGGACAGCGGCATGGACAGCCTGACCTCCGTCGCGTTCAGGAACAGCTTGCAGCAGGTCCTGGGGATCAAGATGCCAGCCTCGCTGATGTTCGACTACCCGACAATGAGGGAAATCACGGACAAGGTCGTCCAGCTGAGCTTGGAGCAGTGAGGGCGCGAGTCGGTGGTGGCAGGATGGGTAGTATTTGGCTTTTCTCGGTCACGCTCATCCTTCCTCTCCTCCTCCTCCTTTCCCCCTCCACCACCTCTCCCCCCCCTGCCCTTCTCCTCTCGGGCGGGCCCAGGACTGGATCAATCGTGCTAGAGCGTTCTGGAACGCTCTCAGGAGGCCCAGAGCGTTCTGGAACGGCCGCGGCGCCCGATAACTACATCCTCCAGGACCGCTGGATCTCAGAGATCCCTGATTCTGTCTCAGTCTGATGTTGTGCTGGTCGCTTCGTCTCATGTTCTTTCTCCTCCTCGCCCACGACGTGCTAGTGCTCTCCCTGTCGGCACCCGCCGCTGCGGCACGTCCACGCAGATGGCGCACGAGAGCACTTTTTTTCCGTGGCCTGCCCGGCGTGGCGCGAGCGGCCCCCCGCGAGCTCAGGCAGCCTGCCGGGGGGGGAGCGACCGCCTGGTATAGTCACGCAGGTAGGGCGCGGCGAGAAAGGCACGGCGCGCAGCTGCTGCAGCCTCCTGGAGTGCTCCTTCTCTCTTCGAGCGGGAGAGACTGCTCGGAGGAAGAGGAGGAGGAGGAGGGGGCGGAGGAGGAGGAGGAGGAGGAGGAGGAGGAGGAGGAGGAGCAGGAGGAGGAGGAGGAGGGAGGAGGAGGAGGAGGAGGAGGAGGAGGAGGAGGAGAATATAGGAGGAGGAGATAGGAGGATGATAATATAGGAGGAAGCGATCGGAGGATGAGATAGGAGGAGGAGATATGAGGAGACTGCTAGGAGGACTGGGGCTGGACACTCCATGGGGACCAGACAGCACAGACCAGCATGGGCGTGCCGCGGGGTCGGCCGAGACCCTCCTAACCCCCAACTGGACCCAGAGGGTCCAGAAGGGTCAGGGCGGAGAAGCAACACCTATGGGCATACCCACACGAACCTGTGCTATCTGCCGGGCTGCCGACCCTGCGGGGACGCTGAGGATGATGATGATGATGCTAATGATGATGATGATGCTGATGATGATGATGATGATGATGATGATGATGAGGAGAGGAAGGAGGAGGAGGAGGAGGAGGAGGAGGAGGGAAGAGGCAGAGCAGGAGGCGGAGGAGGAGATAGGAGGAGGAGATAGGAGGAGGAGATAGGAGGATGAGGAGATGGAGGAGGAGGAGGAGGGAGGAGGAGGAGGAGGGAGGAGAGGAGACAGATAATGATGATGAGGATGATGAGGATGATGATGATGCTGCTGCTGATGATGCTGATGATGCTGATGATGATTATGATGATGATGATGATGATGATGATGATGATGATGATGATGGTGATGGTGATGGTGATGGTGATGGTGATGGTGATGATGATGATGATGATGATGATGATGAGGAGGAGGAGGAGGAGGAGGAGGAGGAGGAGCAGATAGGAGGAGGCGATAGGAGGAGGAGGAGGAGGAGGAGGAGGAGGAGGAGCACATGCCCTGCACGATGTGCAGAGGCGGAGAACGAGGAGGGAGAGCGCGCCCAGACGGCGGCCGCCAGCCCACTTGCGACCTGGCACCCCAGGGATATCTCGGACCGGCGGCCGCTGCCCCCTCGGCACGCCGGCGTTGAGTGCTGGGCCGAGGCGCCGCCGCAACTCGGGGGGGGAGTTCAAAAGGACCCTCCCCAACTGGTGCCACACCTCGAAGAAGAACGGCACCGAAGAGGCCTAGACTTCCGATGCCCGGCGCGGATTTCTCGGACTTGCGCTGGGCCCCCCTGGCGGCGCCTTTGGCGCCAGGCGGAGGGGTTTTCAGGGCAACCCAGAACCTATGAAACAATCGGAGGATGCCGAACAGCTCCGCCCGAATTGCGAAATGCGGGGGCCCGTGTGGAGCATCAAGTCGACCTCATCCTCCGTGCCGTCTTACTGTTTGTGCGTCAAAAAAGCTGCGCAACAACTCCACTGGCAGGAACTGCAGCGGAGAATGCCATCACCTCCAGGCGGGTGCTCCTTGTAACGTATGTGGCAGTCCACTGCTGTAGAAGCCTCCTTGCCGCAAATCTCTCGCAGTTGCCGCCCACATCGCGGACCAGTCAGGACAATATCATGTCCACGCAGCATCCTGCGCTCGACGTCGCGGTCGAACGCCTCGGAGTAAATCGGGGGCATGCATGACGTCTCATTGAGGATGCTTGAGACACACGAGGGAGTAGCGCCATCGTCCCAAGGCCCCCGCCTGTCTAGGACCAGCAACGCGTCCTCATCCTGCTGCTTCGTGCCCTCGGGGGCTTCCAGGAACGGGTCCTGCTCGGCTCAACCCGCCGCCTCCTGCTGGATCCCGTCGGTCTCCGTGCCGCCCTCGACTTTAGGAGAGACACCTCGGACGCTGTCTCCTTCTTTCCTGGCGCCCAACGCCGCACGTGCCGCACCCGAAGGTCTTTTGACCCTCCGCTCAGCTCCCGCACTGCCCGAACCCGCAGGACTCGAGGGACCTGACAGACGCCTCCCGCCGTCGAGCTCCGCACTCGCCGAACTCGCAGAGCTTCTCCCTCCGCCCCGCTCCTCCCCTGCCAACCTCGAGGGGCCCTGCGCGGGGACCTCGCCCTCCTCGAACTCCTCCACGCGGCCCAGTCCAGTCCCCAGGAGCCCAGGGGACAAAACACAAAAATAAGATATAAAAAGATAAAACGTAATCAAACAAATGAAAAAGAGCCCAGGGGACAAGACCGGCGGCCTCGGCGCGAAGAGGAAGGCCCCTGTAGTCAGAGGGCGAGGAAGCGGGTCCCGTGGCCGCTCGCAGGTGCCCCGGGCACGGCCGCTTCCCGCCGATGCGCCCCGCGGCCCGTCCGAGCCCCGTCGCACAGACGCGGCACCGCGCGAGGTCGCGGCGAGGGGCGGGACACCGCGGCCGGCTCGGCGCGCCGTCCAGGGGCTGCCGGCCTCCCGCGCGGGCTCCCCGCCCGCAGGACCGGGCCACTGGCGGGCGGAGGCGTCGCCTGGCAGGCGCGCCCTCGCGCGCGCCGGGCAGTCCGCAGCTCTCGGAGCCACTCTTCCCCTCGGACCGTACGCAAGAGTGCCCTTTCGCCGGAGTGACCTTCGGTGCGGGCCCAACGGGGCCCCCCGATCGCCGAGCGCGATGCGACAGTGGCGTCCTGCGCGCCTGTGTTTGGTCTCCCCACGGCCCCCGAAAGGCCGCGGACCGAAGGCCACTCTTACCCAGTGTCACTCCTGCGTGCCGTCGACTCTTCTCTGGACAGCGTCTCGGGGTCCTCCCGCGTGGGAGCCCCTGCGGGGGGCTGCGGCGTGGCATCGCAGGGCAGGGTGACCGACGGGCGGGCGCGCGCCCGCGATGGCGGCTGCCGTGGGGCGAGGTCTCAGCCAGCGCCGCTCCATCCAGCGTCGGCAGCCCTGCACCGCGACGACTGACGCTGAAGGTGCGTGGCTGCGCGGCCCGAACCGACAGGTCGGTGCTTCGAAGGTGGGGTCCTGAGGGATGGGGTCCTGAGGACGAGGTGCCTCAAACAACGCAAGTCCACCGCTGGATCCCTTCCCATCCTCAGGACCCCACCCCTCAGGACCTCATCTTTTAACGGGCGAAGAACGGCATGAAATAAACTTTTCGCCATCGGGGACACCTGCCCCAGGGTGGCTGGAAAATGTATACCCCTACGCTACGGTGGCACCGTAGGGGTATAAACTTTCCAGCCGCCCAGGGGCAGGTGTCCCCGACGGCGGAAAGTTTATTTTATACCGTTCTTCGCCCGCTGAATCTTTGAGCCACCGAGATCGAGCGCCCCCCGCCGGCGTCCCGCCGTGCGGCGCGAGAGCGCAGGCGCGGGCAGGCGTGGAGCCCGCCGCGAGCACCGGCGCTGCCCGCGGCGCACCCGCTGCAGGCGGAGGGCGGCGCTCGCGGCGAGCCAGCGCAGCCGAGGGCGGGCCGCCACCCCTGGCAAGAGACGAAGACCAGCAGCGTGTCGGGCCGGACGAAAGGTGGGGATTGGGAAAGAGGGGGTTACGAACTTTGCTGCATGCAGCTGGTTTCGGCCTCGCCGAGGCGCCCATTCCTCGGTACATGGACGCCTCCCGGCGCCGGGAGGCGCCGGGAAAATCAGCTACGTGAGCTGATTCTCAAACCCCCCCTTTGCTATCCCCCCCTTTCGCCCGGCCCGAGCGTGGCGAAGCGAGCCGGGCCTTGCCTCCGCCGCGCGAGGTCGTGTGCAAGGGCGCGGAGTTTCCACCGCTGCCGGGGCTGCAGCGGGAGGAGAGAGAGGGAGACTCCGCAGCTCAGCGTCTGGCAGAAGGTTGGATCGAGTCGCGAGGTACCACGGCCTCGAGCACCAGGACCGCGCCGGCGTGACCCCCACGTGCTCTCGGTAGATGACGATCTTCGGTGGTTCAAAGACGGGGCCTTGAGAGATGGGGTCCTGAAGATAGGAAGGGGTCCAGGGGTGAATTCACATCGTCCGAGGCACCTCGTCCTCAGGCCCCCCATCCTTCAAGACCCCGTCTTTGAACCACCGAGAGCCGGCCACCGCCCATCCCTGACACGCAAAACGTGAGCTCTCGGCGCTCTGCGCGGCGGACCCGCGAACTTCGCCTGGGCCTCCGAGACTTTACGTGTGCGTGTGCGTGTGTGTGTGTGCCGTTTTTTTTGGTTGTCCTGCCTGAGTATATTGCATGTCGAGCTGGCCACGATCGGCGGCAAGCCAGGGGGGGAAGTGAGAAGGGGCCGGCCTTCTCAGAAGGCTCTCGGGAGCCCCCCGGCCTTCCGAGAGTTTTTCGAAGCCTCCCCCGAAGACGCAGAAAAAACCATTCCTCAGGCGCGAGGGCTTCTGAGAATCAGGAGGGGAAAAAACACAGACACAATTAATCGTCGATTCCCCAGAAAATATAGGAAATATGGGAAGTGGGGGGGAAGACAAAAACCCAGAAAATGTGGAAAAATATGGGGAATGCTTTTATTTGTGTGTATCTATTTGTGTGTCCAAGGGCCCCCTCAGAGAAGTCCCGCCGCCTTCTGAGA